CATTCATGATCGGGCTTCCTCCTCTGAAAGTCAGCACTTTGTCATCTATTATTTCTTGAACTTTCTCCTGAAAACTTTGCACTCTTCAATCGAATGCCCTAACACTCCATCATGAAATTCACAGTTAACGTTCGAGTTGAACCACGGTGGATGAGACTTCATGATTCTAGTCTTCCTGGGTGTCATCACCGAGTTTCAGATGAAGTAAGACCAAAGTTGACTGTAAGTCATTGGGATAAGATCAAACCAACGAGTTTCTTCTTTTGGAATACTCAGAGGTGCCTTCTGACTCTGAAATCGTCTTCGAACTTGTCGATTCTGATGTTGATCTGAAGATATCATTCTTCGCTTATGAGGTAGTCGCTGCTTGCGCTGAGCAGTCGCTTCATACTGATGTTGAGGGTAAGGTACTGGAACTGGATCTGACAGGAGCTGAGAGGAATCCCGAACTGTGTTAACATCAACGCTTCTTTCCTCTAGGGAATCATCAACTGAAATTTCTTTATTAGCTTGGCCATTCAAGTTATCCTGAATTCTCCCACTTTTGAGCGCATTTTCAATGTTTACTCCAACTTCTATAATTTTAGAGAAATCTGATGGCACAGCGCCCACCATCCTATCATAATAAGAGTCTGACAGTGTTTTTAGAAACATCTTGCTTAATTCTCTCTCTTGAAGTGGTGAATGAATTTGAGATGCTAACTCTTTCCATCATTGGGCATATTCCCTGAAAGATTCATTGTCGTTCTTACTCATGTTCATCAGTTGATCACTGTCTGGAGCTATGTCCAAATTATAATTGTATTGCCTCACAAAAGCATCAGCTAAATCTCTCCAAGATTGTATACGATTCCTTTGTAACTTCATATACCATATCAAGGATGCCCCAGATAAGCTTTCTTGAAAGCAATGCATCATCAATTCGTCGTTGTCAATATAAGCAGCCATCTTTCGACAAAACATCGTCAAATGGTATCTTGGACAACTAATACCCTTGTATACTTCAAATACAGGCATCTTGAACTTCGGAGGGATAGTTATGCCTGGAACTAGACATAGGTCACGAGCATCAAGATCAGATGCATTAGCTTCTTTCACTATTTTCAATTGTCCTTTAAAATCGCATAATTCTTTTTCCATTGCTACAAATCTAGGATGAACAATTTGAGGATTAGGTACAGGCTGTAGAGGTTGGGAAGCTCCTTGGACAGGCTGAAGTTGGGTAGGAACATCCACTCGTTGAACATTGTCAGAGGGGAGATCAAATAACGGATTAGTCATTATTCTGAAACCAGTCATGGGATCCATATCTTTTGTTCTCTTTACTATCCTTCGGTAATACTTCGAGCTTGGTCAGACGGTCGAGATGTCAGCTGGAAGACAAAGACAGAAGATCGGATGAGCCACAGAAGAGGCGAGACACATGCATATGCAAAATGCTAAATGCAGGATGCTGATGCAGGAATGCAGAATGCAGAGAAATGAAAGGTTTCATGGAACTCAAGTTCTTATAAACGTTACAGAATACCATAGAAAATTCACTTGTTGTTTTTTGATAATGGATTACAAGGAAACATTCTTATAAGAGTCCCAACATAATAGCTAAATAAAAGCTAATACAACCCTAAGGAAGTCCTTCATCATGATATACTTCTCTTCTTGAAGATAAATTTTCCATGATCAACGTCTAAAGATTAGTTTGATGGAGGAAAATAAATCCTCCGTCTCTTCTTTTGTTCTTGTTGGAAGTAATGGGGGAATTCCTTGTTCACTTGGATATTTGATGAGAGTCCTTTGAACTTCTAATGATCCTTCATGATAAGGGAAGCCTCTTGTATTTGTCTTTTGAGTTTTCTTCAAACTGAGCTCCTACTTCCTTAGGCCATCCAAGTTTAGGAATCTTAAAAGAATATCTCAAAATATTTTCTTTTGTAATCCCTATTGGTTTCTATAATGTTCATAGATAAACTAAGAATCCCATGAAACCTAATGTAGTATGATGCCATATGAATGTAGCAAACACAAGTAAGCACATAAGGACACAAAGATAAACAAACAAGGGAAACCCTAGGTTTGCAACGAGCATGGAGCCAAAGGTATACCCATTCCCAAAGGTTATGGACTAAAGGTTGATTACACCTGTAGAACAAGGTTCTAAAGGGACTCAAAATCATCAGCCTATCTTTCGGATATTATCAATTTCCCAATTACTCGAGGATTAATAATATTCTCAAGAAAACTTCTTTTGAGTGTAGCTTCGCGTAGCACTATTTTGGGAGTACTCCCTCATAGTCCCGCACTACGTCCTAATAAAGGCCAAAGTTGGGTTAAAGGTAACTACGGTCCTCAATATCATAGGCTCCAAGGTCGAAAATAGTGATTGTCTTCACGATTACTCGTTCAACAGTACTACCTCGAGAGGGCCTTAATTGAGCGGGATTCTCGATTTAACTTAGTCGGGATTCAACTCTCTATAAGCCTCCTCGAATATATCACCATCCTATCTTAATTTCTCTCAAGTTCCGGTGTAGAACTTTGTCTCACCTCTCAAGGATAACAACCCAAAAAACGGGTGTAAGCAGATATGTAAAGCAGTAAACAAATAAAATAAGATAGGGAAACCCACTAGGGATCCCCAGTGAAGTCGCCATTTCTGTCACGGTGAAAATCGGATACCAAACTATGGATTAGTTTGAATCTTTAATTCATTTTGCAACCGAACTTTGATTTGTCCAAAGGAAGGGATAAAGATCGAAATACCTACAATGCAATGCAAATGCAAGCTAGAGAGTTATAGGTTCAGGGGTCGGTTAAACTTAGGGAAGGTGCTAGCATCCTAAGTTTTTGTAGTACTCTACAGGAACCTCTTGTTTTATGTTTGTTTATTGCTAAGTGTTTATCTGCTTAATGGTTAAAGACCTAGGTGCTTAATGGTAAACCATACACAAACGTATGAAAGCGCTGAAGTGTGTGAGAGTGAATGTGTCGTGAATGTGAGTGTGCACGATTGAATGAATTTTAGGGAGATCGACCAATTTGTAAAATTGATTCTAAAGGAAGGTTGAGTAGATTTAGGAAGAGATCTTTTTTATGAGAAAATTATATTATTTTATTAGATTACAAATTATAAGTGAATTTGATTTTAAGGGGAAATGTTGTATTAATTTTAAGTGAAATTGCTTTTTAGAGAAATTATTTTAAAGGGGTGAAATGGTTTTTTGTTAATTTAGTGAGATGTTTAGATGATAAATTAATTTTAAGAAAGAAATATTTTTTAGTGAGATTATCAATTTAGTTGAATTATATTTATAGAAAAATTAATTTGTGGTTGATTTAAGAAAAGTTGGATCAATTGAGATTGATTAATTTAGTTGTAAAAAAAAACTTTTAAATAAATTACTTTATTACATAAATTAGTTGGTTATTAAAGAAATTAATGTTTTCTTATTAAGGATATTTTTATTAAATAAAATGGACTATATGGTAAGTTATTTTAAATTATGAAAGAAAGGTTTTCTATTAAAATAGTTTTTTATATTAAATAGGTACAAATTATTAGATTATGAAAAAAGATTTATTAAGAAACAAGTTATGTTTATTTTAAAAGAATTATTGAGTTATATAGAAAAGTGAAATAGATTAATTAAAAATTAGTTAAAAAGATTAATTAAAAGAGTTATTTATAAAAAGTTCATTCACAATTATTAAATTAATTAATTAAAAGGTTAATAAAAAGTTGATATTAAATTAATTAATAAATTACATGAAGAGATTAAATTTAAAATGTCATCATTTTAATAAAAAAATATTAAAGTTAATTTAGCCAATTATAAAAAGATGTGTTAATTTAATTTTAAAAAAACTGATTGGAAAGGTTAATTGGTAATTGGGTTAAATATTAAACATTAGATTAATTAGGGATTAATGAGTGGTAAGCACCGATTAGTGGGAGGTTAATTAGGGTTACTGGATTCGGTGAGGCGCGAGATAGGAGGGTATACGGTGGGCGTGCAGGTGTGTGTTGCGTGTTGAGATCAGACCGCGATGGACGGTCGGTGGCGGGGGTGCATCATAACAATACCAAAGCGCGCACACACATGATAACATACAAGAAAACAAAAAAAACAAAAGAAACAAAAATGCCAGGAACCCTAAATCGGTCCCCCTCTTCTCCGCCGCTTCTCCTCTCTCGCTTCCTTCGTTCACCGTCTTCTTCTCCTTTCTTCTTCTTCTATTGATTTCTTCCCGTTTTCCTAAAAAAGAAACAACACAACATCAAAATCAAAGTCCATAACAATGGAGAGAAAACTCACAAACCCAAGATTCCTCGTAAGGCTTTCAATGGTGGACGGAGATGGAGGGGATTCGCGACGGCGTGAGTTTGAAGGTGACGGCGATATGAGGTTTGCGGTGGTGAACTGCGGTGAAAGCGACTTCCGTCGAGGGCGATTTCTGGCGAGGGCGATTTCCGGCAAGGGCGATTTCCGGCGAGGGTGAAGATGACAAGGGTGTTGAACGAACTCAGAGGTAATTTCTTCTTCAATTCATTCTGCGATTTAGGTTTTCTTCTCTTTGAAATTTGGGGTTTTCTGATTCGTGGATTTTAGGGTTTTTCTGTGTGAATGTTATGGATCCCCCCCCCCCCCCCATTCGCTGTGCACGAGGTCTCCTTTATATATCTCTCAAATGGTTTTTGATTAGTTTCAATCATGATTTCGTAATGAAGGCATTGATGGTAGTTGTCGGGTTGTGATAAAATCTTTCCATTTCACCTAAACGTATCATTTAATATCTCTTGAATGTCTGATTTTATTTGGATTCACCGCAAGATATTTGAATAGCATCTTTATTGCCTCATTAACTTTGTCAATATCTGTTGGCAGGTTTCCTGTCAAGACAAAGGTCCTTCAAATTCTCTTAAAAAAAGCGCTACACTCAAACTGTTGGTTTAGAGAATTTTAACAAGATGTTCCTCAGAGGTTGAAGAAGCAACCAGTAAGATGGGCAGTCATGGTGTGTCAGCTGTTAATCATTCTCCTCTTCAACAAAATTCTGGCTTATTTTTGGGAGCACTTGAGTTTTCGCTCATCACTTGTTTCGGAAACCAAACCGCTGTAAGTTGGAATGTTCTGATTTTTCAAATAAATGATAAGGATTATACTCGGTTTTGTCTGATGAATCTGTTCGTTCTTCTGATATGCTCACAGGGTGAACTGAAGGACCTTCCTATTTACGCTTAGTGAACGAAGGTTGACGATGAAGATTTACTGATCGTTTATGTGACCCCCCAGAGAGGTGCTGGGAAATTGGAACCAGAAGTTAAACCGCGGAGCTGGGAGCCGGCGAACCGAACTACCGGGGCTTCAAAGTATCTCATAAGTCGTTTCTCAGAACCTGAAGGTGCTTGAGTTTTAATGTCTTCATGAGATACGGGACCCTTTCTACGGCGGCGATGAGACCGACAAGGTATGGAAACCTTCGCCTTCATAGATACCCACAATTCTCTAGAAACTCTGTTGATTGCTCTAATCTTCTGTTCTGTTTGCTTTGGACAGGTAAATTATATTGCAATTGTGACAGGTCTTCTTCGAAATCTATTCTGTAAGCAATTTCAGTTCAACTTTTGGACTTGGTGTGTCTAACCGATAACTTGTGAATTTAATGCTTTTTAGGTGGCTGAGTTTCTCATGGTTTCGAGACTGTTGCGTTGTGGCATGTGGCGGTTTGTACTGTCTTATTTGAAGGTAACAACTTTGGGAATATACCTTAATAGCAATTGACATTGGCTTCGGCTTGGGAAGCTCTCACGGGCTAGTGTTGGGCGGCACAGGATACGCCCTGGTGTAGTGAAGGCTTGCCTGATGTATTTGTCATGAGGCAACTTGCATAGCAAGACAGTTACTGTAATTTAGACTTATGCAACCTTGCTATTTGAATTGACTGCTTGGTGTTATGAAGTGTTGTACACAGGTGTTGTCTTCTTGGATTATGCGTATCCTGCTGAAAGTGGAGAGTCTCTCATGGTGCAGGGTATTCTCCTTTACTGTTTGATTAGTGTTGGCCTTCGGATTGTCGTGGTCAACTTTGACGGTGGGGTATTGGCGGTTCTGCTCTAGTAAGGGTCTTACAATCTCATGAGCTTTAAAATTCAATTACTTATGCTAAGACTTCTTACTAGTAGGAATCACTGCACATGTTATCGGTCTCCATGGTTTTATGCAGGCTGCAGGATCCTTGCACATCAGCTGATACCGGCGACCATCGGGTTGGTTTACTGAGATTTTCTGGCTAGATTATTGATGCTATGGGTGTGGTTGTTTGTTGATTTATTAGTTACTAACTTCTCTTTTCTGTTGGTTTTATCATGCAAGCTTGGAAGCGGTTAGGATCACAGACAAAATTGTAAACACAATCACCAACTGTGATGAAGACGGTAGAGACTTTGAAGTTTGCATTACTCAATTTCTTGACTGCTGCTGGTTGCGCGCAAACCCTTCACATACAGCATCATCTTGCCACTTTGAGTTAAAATGCTTTCACGCAACTAATGCATTCACTTACCATTCTTATGTATACCTGATACTCAGTATTTGCGTTAACAAACTCTTGAAGTTTATGTTTTTGTAGGTGCGCTCGGAGTTTCTGTCACATGGCTTTCCGGCGTTATGCAGGCGGTTCAAGAGCTGAGGCTGCCGGCATTATGTTTCAGATGGAATGGCGGGTGAAGTCTAACATGAAGCTTGGGCAACTTGGAGCGAAGACCAATTGAGCTTGGAATGGAGTTCCGAAACCTACTGTTACTTTCTTGAGCCCTGTATGACTTCGAAGAAAAAAGTACGGCTTGTAACCAAAGCCATGGGAATGCTTTACTGTTGTTGTGCTTAAGGAATATGTTGGAAGTCGTGGTTTTATTTCAAGTTAAATAAGGTAACTGCCAAACTCCTCTTCTGCAGAAGCAGCGCGACTAGACAATTACCGGCTTGTCGCTGCCTTCCTTCACATATTCAATCAGGTAAGCTCACTCTCAAACTGCGTTGAGCTATTCATGTTGGAAAGAGAATTCCTTTATTAATATCCTCATTATTTTGCAGTTTATACATTAACCAACCGTCGATCCATCTACTCAATGTCGACGCCCTACGATGTTTTGAAGTTCAGGTGTCGATACGTGCTGGCTCCCAAGTGCAAAGTTCAATATAATTAAGCTGTCGCCGTTGTTGTGGAAGCGGGTTCTAGAACACGGTTGAGTTTACAAACTGGTAGCATTTTGGAGTTATGAAGTGTGTATTTATTTAAGACTATCCTTGCTCTACTCAAGCTATTTGGTGTCATGGTGTTAGAAAATCCAAGGCCAATACCATGTATTTAGTGACAATCTGTAATTTACGACAGGCTGTAGTTCTTGTAAAACATCCTTCACCTTAATATTTGGATTAAAGAATTCAATTGGAAATCTAGGGTTAATCTTGCAATGACTCCTTCTATGAATTCTTAACTCGTACATGGTTTGCACTTGAATTTACTTCCAACCTTATATACCGGATCATAAATACTTTTGGTCTTTTCCTGTAGAGAACAAATGGTTCTTGAATCACTTAGAACCAACAAACCTAATAAGAAACTGGATCTCCACTCCTCGGGGCAATGTCACTCTTAAAAAAAAAGAATAATTAATGGAAATAAACTTGGAAAATGAATTGGTTTAACTTTGAACAATTCGATGGGATCAGTGGTGGGATCATTATATCCTACTTGTAAGGTTTATGCAATGAGGTTAAAGCCTTGCCATGAAGAAAAAAGCAATGAATTTGACGTGGTTAAATTTTGGCACTTGAATAGATATCGGAACCTCGAACACCCTTGAGCTTGATTACCGTTAGTTATAACTCTTCCACTTATATTCGGATGAAACCCAATTGTATTGTCAAAAAGAAGAAAAAAAACTTAAACCAAAGGACCTCGAAATCGCGAGCCTCTCGACTTCAGAACCTGGTGCAAATTGTATAAGAAACTTAGAGCTCGATCCCTCGCACAAAGGGGGTCTTCATGGTAATACCTCAGACTTCTGGCTTGAAAACTCGAACCCTTAGGCCAATCTATTTTAAAATAAACCTCTCTTGATCTGAAGACGGCCTCAAGAACATAGAAAATTTAAGAGCGGAGTGCGTATCGGGTAGAAACCTCAAGATGACCTTAAGTCGGGGTTAGCCAGCCATGTCTAGCAATATCTAAATGAGAGAATGGGTATGATCTCCACTCGACCTTACCATCATTGTGTGAACCTGCAAAGACTGGTTAGTTGTAATAAACAACCATATGAAAATTAAAATAAAACAAGCAAGAAAAGAAAAAGAAAAAAAGAGGTGGGATCTTATGGTCAAAAATTAGGGTGCGACACCTATCAACTTGCGAATCATATCTTCAGTGATGATAATCTCTTTACCCAGAACTGAAGAAACAACGAATTTGGGGAAAACGTTTACATAGATCCAAAACTCTTTAACCAAGCAAGGATAAATTGGACCTATCAGTCTATCAAAATATTTTGTCCATCCTTGTGATGACACAGTTGGACGCAAATCAAATCCATTTTCATAAATGCTTTCAAAATCTATCAAAAACTCAAAAAACTTCCAGTTCATCAATAGGCGTGAGAAGAGTTCTTACAGGTTCTTTGAACGGAGTAGGACCCATAGTAGAAGATGAAACAGCAGCCATTGTAGATTCAAACTGTTGAGAGGTTGAAGATGAAGTTGCCATTGTTGATGTAGTGAGATAACGAGTTCTTCTTTGGGATTTAGGTTTGGGAGAGAGGAAGAAGCAATGAAGCAAACAGAAATGCATATACGTGTGAGAGAGAGAGAGAGAGAGAGAGAGAGAGAGTGAAAAGTGTGAGAAGTGTTATGTTGTGGAATATATAGGCACAAAAATTAGGGCACACATTCACACGTTCAGCATTTAATTCAATTAATTTAAAACAAAAAGTCACATAAAAAAGAATAATGATTAAAAGCAATTAATGATTCTGACAAGCGTGGGGAGGAAAACGAGAAATTTGAGAATACGAACAGTACCTCAAAACGGCGTCTCATTGTTTACACTACACCTTTTCAGATTTCATGTGACACGTGTTTGATGTAGATATGCCTCTGAATCTCTTTAGAATAAGAAACGTTAATAAACGCTCAGATCTTCTGAGACTTGTTAGTTCAGAGTTTCACAAAAATAAATAACGTACCAAAAGAAATAATCAGATGAATTACTTCAGAGTATAGATATTAATCATATTTCATCTGAATAAATTTGACTCTGAATAATAGTTTTATTCTGGACAAAAATCCATACTAATATTCTTCAGAATAAATTTAAACCTATCTTCAGCAAGGGGTTTTGTGACGATATCAGCCCATTGATGGTCTATATCAACAAAATTCAAACTTATAATTCCCTTCTGAACATAGTCTCTGATGAAATGATGTTTAATTTCTATATGCTTTGCCTTAGAATGTAAAATAGGATTTTTAGACAGGCAAATGGCAGAAGTATTATCACAGAAGATAGAAATGTTACTCTCATGTATCTGATAATCTTCTAGTTGACTTTTCATCCAGAGCATCTGTGTGCTACAACCAGCAGGAGCAATATATTCTGCTTCTGTTGTTGAAAGCGCTATTGTGGGCTGCTTCTTGCTGAACCATGAGATCAGATGACTTCCCAGAAACTGACAGCTTCCAGAAGTACTTTTACGTTCTATTCTGTCTCCAGCATAATCAGCATCGTAAAATTCAACTAATGTATGTTCATCAGATCTTCTATAACACAAACCCACGTTAGTAGTACCTTTCAGATACCTCAGAATGCTCTTAACAGCTGTTAAATGATATTCTCTAGCATCTGATTGGAATCTAGCACATAGACAAACACTAAAAAGGATATCAGGTCTAGAAGCAGTCAAGTATAGAAGAGAATCAATCATACCTCTGTAGAGCTTCTGATCTACCTTTTTACTTACCTCTTCTTTACCTAGAGTGCTTGTTGGATGCATTGGAGTCTTTGCTAGCTTACTTTCTGTCATGTTGAATTTCTTCAGAAGCTCCTTTACATACTTTGTCTGATGTATGTATGTGCCTTCTGGAGTTTGATTCACTTGAATTCCCAGAAAGAATCTGATTTCTCTCATCATGCTCATTTCAAATTCTCCCTGCATAGATTGAGCAAACTCCTTTCCAAGCGTAATATT